CTTCATCTAGGTGCACCCAGTATACCAGGCTCCCTTGTTCCCTTGCATGGTCGACCCTCCATAGCAGTCACCCCTTAGTCGAGCATTACCCGCCCTGATGGTCGATCTGTTAGGGTCATTGGTTCTGTTCGCTCCCAGTTCCCTACCCTCATTGAGCCTGATGACATGTGTTTTCCCTTGTCACTATGTGTGGATGCCCTTAGGAGTTTTCAACCCCTAGGCTGCATTCGCCACCCTCAGAGACCATCCCACCCTTTGGTGTGTGACACACTTCTCATGTGACATATGGTTGTCTTGTTGATTGCTTTGCTGCTCTCAGACTGAGGCTACTGCCTCCAACATTTCTGGGATTTAGTTGTTATGCTTTTGCTGTTCTTAGGACTTATACACTAGTCAGTTGTTACCACACTGAGGCTAGTGCCTCCAACATTCTAGGATCTAGTTGTCACTACTTTTTGCTTTCCTAGGACATGTATGTCAGTTAGTTGCTCCTACTTTCACTTAGGCTGTTAGCGGTGACATTGTTGTTTGTGACATTTTATATCCTAGGTTGCATCGCATGGACGCAGCATGGAGCTTGCTCCGCATCCTAGACTACTCAGGTTTTCTTTTCTTTGGTCGAGTTCCGCTTCTTGGCGGAAGCATGTTTGTATCTAGGCGATCCATCACAGGCCGAGGATCGTGTAGCGGACCTCGGGTTGGCCTGTGAGACCAGCCCCTTGGCCTGTTCTCACAGGCCTGTGTTATATTCGGGGTAGGCCAGTCCAGGCCGGTACCTCTGTCGGTACCAGCCAGTCCAGTCCAGTCCCGTCAGTCCGCTGGGGTATACCCCAGCCATTGTCTGTTTTCAGATGCATTCCTCACTTGTACATTTTGGAGTACGTGCGTTGGAGTCTTGCGTGGGGAGCTGCGTTGTGCCATCTTGCTCCCCCTTCTTCCTCCATCTCCATCTCTGTCACTAGCGGAGCACCACACCTGGTGGGTCCGCTACATGGGTAGAGAGACGTTACAATCGAGAATCTGGATCGTGGCGGCGCCCTATTGGCTGAGGGCCTCAAACACATTTCATTTTTTTTTTCTTTTCTTTTTCTTGTCTGACATCGTTCGAAGGAAATGTCCTCGGGCGAAGTCCCCGAGGACAGGTGGAACGATGGCAGGAATTTCTTTAAAACCCCCAAGGAAACTTTCTTCGGCCCCGAGGACGCCCCAAGGAGTGTCGAACGAGCCCCTTTGTTTGGTCCTCCCCCGTGTGACCGGGTGCACTTGCTCTGAGTGCAAAGTGTCAGGGTCGGGACTTCGTCCTTTCTGGACGAGTGAGCATGCCCGAACCAAATGCATGAAATCGAAAATCAAGGTCGAAAGTCCATTCAGGACATCCTTATTCATAAATGCTTATACTATAATCCTACTTTTTTATCTTGGAAGGGTGTCACCTTATAGTCCTAAGTCTGATCGTACGTTTTCACATGATCTCGCATGGTTTGACAGGAGCTATTGAATGTTCCAGGTACCATCCCTGATTAGGGTGTCTTGAACTGAATATAGTCTGATGTGCTCATATTTTTTTAGAAATTGAATTTTCTATTGTTTAGGGACTCTAAAGAAACAAGTCAGAATTGAGTCTCAGTTTTAGATGATGTGGGGTTTTGGGGTCATAGGCGCTGAATGGAATTACCTCCTCTAGGACTGGAGCCCCTCCCTGCGAGAGTTACACATGGTGGGAGGTGTGATCTTTGAGAGGGTAGGGGCAGTGTGAGGGTTTGTCCTTTTCTGGGCCACACTGATTTTCGGGTTGGATCAATGATGGCGGTTGGGGAGAGGGGACAAGGGGTGCTGATGTCAGCGAGGTGATAAGTTGAAGGGTTGTTTCACTTGGAGGGGGTGGGAAATGAGGGAAGGGGGATCTTCGACTCTGCGGGGGCATACTTTAGGAGGTAATGTATGCAACTGAGGGAGCAGGAGCGGTGTTTAGGGGGCTGTTCTGCACTGGGGCTGGGAGGTGAGGGGGCACCTCCCCACTGAGGCAGTGAGCAGACAGGGGATTGTTTTTTTGGGGAGAGGAGTAATCCGCTTGGTTCTTGTGAGCCCTTTATATGCAACTGAGACATGCGCTAAAGTTTCCATGGGAAGAGAGGGTGGTTTCTCCCTCCCTTCCCCTCTTCCTGAGGGAACTGAAGGCGCTGAAATGAGCATCTGGTCTTTTCGAATCTTCTGATTTTCTGATGTTCCAATTGAAAAAATTCTTTATAAGTTGGTGCTGGTGGCAGAGGGCTGAGGGGCTGCGATGGTGGGAGACAATGCGCTCTGCGGCAATGGGGCTAGCCTGCAGGGTGGAAATAAGGTACAACAGCGGTGAAGATGGTGGCCTCATCGTGGTAAGACTTGTCGGAGTAGGGTTGAGAGGGATTTTATGTGGGATATCTGCAACCAGTGCCTGAAGGAGCTGAGTGATCGGAACTAGATTTATGGTGTTGATTGGTGGCTTTGTTTTTTTTTGTTTTTTTTTTTTAATCAAAACACAACTGAAGTCATTAGGAATGGTGATAAGAGCAGTCATTCCTAATCACCCAGTTGAGACTCCAGTCTATTGGTGGGGAATATCACCAGCTGAAAACTGGGTTCAGCATCCCTTATACAGAAAAATGTCCAGTATTATCAAAATCACCTCTTCAGTCCTGATCAGACCGCTGTCGAGCGCATCGGTCCGGCACCGCACAAGGCAGCGCGGGACCCTCCCGGCCACGTCACGCAGGAGTTGGTTCTTGATCCTCGTCGCGATATATACATGGAGCTTCCACAAGCCTTTCCGGCCGAGTGCGTTAGCCATACCTCTCACGAGCACCTACGACAGGATAGGGCCTACACGAGACACGACTTACCTCCACCTTACGGGAGAGGTCACCTCACTTCGGTGGGCGTATCCCCGCCAAGCTACTATTCCACAGTACGAGAGTTAATCAGCTGCAAGCGCAAAGGTGG